AAAAAAATATGGCGGTAGAAGGTAGTGGGACAACAGCACGGAAAAAAAAGAAAACCGTCTAAGCGTAGTCCAGTGGGGTCATTGAAATACCAATCATGAACATGATATGATTTCGACCATAGCATTCACTGTGCAGTTACTTTAAACAGGAGGTAGCGAGTAAGTCAAAAGCTGTCTAAGGTGTGATCTACTGGGTTGGTTGACATGCTGAGTACCGAGCATGCTAAACATAAACCATCATGAATGAACGCAGAATCGAATAGGAGGATGGGAAGAATACGTCCAAAGCACCATTCAAAGATGAAAATGAAAACTTTCGAATGTTCACTGGCTATGTAGCCTCCCTGACTAATTAATTCTCAAATTAAATGATTGAGATTAGTCATTTCTCCTAAGAAAATTTGAGAGCAACTATCATTCATTAACATTTTAGTATAAAACACTGATTAAACAAGAAACCAGCTATGGAAGAGAGGTAACATGGCCGCTTATTTCGTGTTGCTATGTGTAGGCTCAGCAATCCAAAATGGCCTTCGCGCTTTTTTCCTTTGAGATAATGTTTAGATGAAACCAAACTTTCGACTCGCAAGAAGGCCCTTCAATGATTTTTAAGTGGGGAAGGCTGTTATTCTTGTTTAAATTTCAAAAATCTAATTCTTTAGTACACGTGCCAATGCTTTGCTCACCGAAGAAAACGCGAAGCTTTGGTGACTGGATAAAATGAGTTTATGGGAGAGAAATTCGCTTTGGACGATCGGTCGCACACCCCATTATGTTGCCACAAGCGTTTTTCCTCTGCAGTGTTTGCTCCCCGTTAGTGCACTCTCTGGCGAGAAAGAGCTCAGGGCAAACTGCAGGCCGCCTTGAAGATCTACCAACGGCCAGCCAGGTGAGCGGGGTCTTCCCCGGTTCGAGCGGTGGATTTTGCTTGATTGCCCCTGGGGCACCTAAAAATCGGCCGCTGCACGGCAGACCCTGGATACCGCTCTTACAGGGATGGTTCAGCTGAGTTCTCGTTCCGAGTTCTTCCCTTTCCTGAGCCATTTCGATGTCCTAAACATGAAATTGTAAAAAGCAGAGACTCAGGGCTTCTTCTCTTCACAGCAATGGTTCAGGAA